AGACCAGCAGCAGCAGCAGCAGCAGCAGCAGCAGCAGCAGCAGCAGCAGCAGCAAACCTGTAAGAGCCTGCCCTCAACTGCTGCATAGATAAGCCTCGCAGCCCCTTCAGAAAGTGTGGGGCCCTCCCCCCTTTTGACTGTCTCCTCAAAGCCGTGGGCCTTGGCCACTTGCTGCACCAGCACAGTCCCCACTGCATGCAGGTCTTGCTGCTGCTGCTGCTGCTGCTGCTGCTGCTGCTGCTGCTGCTGCTGCGGCAGCGCGGGGGCCCCCCGCAGCAGCGGCCCGCCGTCCTCCCCCAGGGGGGCCCCTGCTGCTGCCACAAAATAGGGTACACCGGGGGGCCCCTCGGGGGCCTCCCCGCCGTAGGGGGGCCCCTGCTGCCGAGAGGGTACTGCAGCAGCCATCAGCCCCGCGGCACTTTGGGGGCCCCTCTGGGGGCCCCCCTCCACTCATAGAGTTTCGCAGGGGCCCCCAGGGCAGCAGCAGCAGAAGAGCAGGGGCCCTTCTCCCGACAAGCTGCTGCTGCTGCTGCTGCTGCTGCTGCTGCGCTGTTCTCCCGCTGCTGCTGCTGCTGCTGCTGCTGCGCTGTTCCGCCGCCGCCGCCGCTGCTGCTGCTGCTGCTGCTGCTGCTGCTGCTGCTGGGGCCCCCTGCAGCAAAGGAAACAGCCAGGGGAGCAGCAACTTCGGAGACAAGAAGGGCTGGGGGCCCCCGGCCTCCCCACTAAACAGACCCAGGGGGCCCCCGAGGCCCCTGAGGCCCTCTAGTGCAGCAAATTGGAATTTCTTTTTAAATAAAACAAAAAACTTCTTTTATTTTTAATTAAAATAAAATAATTCCTTTTCGAAACTTCTCAATAAAAAGCCCCAACAGTTTGCTGCCCGGGGGCCCCCGGGGCCCCCGGGGTTTCGCCGAACTCTTCCCCAGCCCTAAACCCTAAACCCTAAACCCTAAACCCTAAACCCTAAACCCTAAACTAAAAGCTTTAAAGCTCAATTCTAAGGATAAATCGCTCAATTGGCCCCACGCTGTTCGCGGACTACGCAGCAGCAGAGCCAGGCGCTGGGGTGTACGTACACCGCAGATACGGGGTGTACGTACACCTCAAATTTGAGGTGTACGTACACCTCAATTTCGCAAAAAAAAGATTATTTAAAGCTCCACAGAAATGTCCCGAGAGGCCCCTGACTAGGGGGGCCCCCAATAGGGCACAGGAGCTCACAGGGGGGCCCCTGAGGGCCCTTCTAGCTGCAGCTGAGCTTCTGTTTAGTCGGGCCAAGAGGGTACAGGGGCCCCTACGCCCAGGGGCCCCTCTCCCGGGGCCAGGGGGGCCCCTATCCCGGGCCTCGGGCCCGGGATAGGGGGCCCCCTTGGTGGAAGGCATGGGGGCCCCTTTTTTAGCTCCAGGGGCCCCCTTTTCTAGCCCCGGGGGCCCCCTTTTGAAGCCCGGGGGCCCCCCTTTGTAGCCCCGGGGGCCCCCCTTTGTAACCCCGGGGGGCCCCTGGGAAGGTGCAGCAATGGGTACCTTTCGGGTGTCTGTACACCTAAAGAGTGATGTAAACAGCTGCAGCAAACAGCCAAAAAAGAAGACTTTTAATTAATTCTACTTTTCTTTGTTTTCTGCTGAGGGTAAGACAAACTAGGGGCCCCTAAGGGGCCCCGAGGCCTCCTCTCCAGGGGGCCCCCAGGGGCCCCCAGTGGCCCCTCACTGGGGGCCCCCACTGCTGCGCCTTTAGCTGGCCTTTGAGCCCCTGGAAGTATTGGCAAAGACAAGAAGTACCCAAAAGTGTTTAAAGTTTTGCAAAAGACCCTTTGGGGGGCCCCAAGGGTCTTCAAGAACCCTCTGGCCGTTGTGGGGCCCTTAAGGGACCCTGGGGGCCCCCTGAGGGGCCCCTGGAGCCCCCTGAGGGCCCCCCTGGAGCCCCCTGGGGGCCTCCCGGGGGGCCCCTGGGGGCCCCCTTTTGAACCCTGCCCTCCAAGGGGCCTTCCAGGGGACCCCCGGGGGCCCCCTGGGGGGCCCCTTGGGGGGCCCCCGGGGGACCCCAGGGGCCCCCTGGGGGCCCCCTGGGGGCCCCCTAAGGGCCCCCTGGGGGCCCCCTGGGGGCCCCCTGGGGGCCCCCTGGGGGCCCCCTGGGGGCCCCCCAGCCCGTAGGGCGAACTCTAGGGGGCCCAGGAATGCACATTGAAAGGACTTGACAAAAAGGAAGGAGGGACATTGCCCCAAACCCTCCCGCCTTTGCCTGTGAAAGTTTCCTTAAGAAGTGGCTGCCCCAGGGGCTGTGGGGCCCCACAGTGCTGCTGCTGGCCCCACGCCCCTGGCGCAGCAGCAGCAGCAGCAGCAGCAGCAGCTGCTGCTGCTGCTGCTGCTGCTGGCTTCGCTGGCGGGTAGCGGGGGGCTGCTGCTGCTGCTGCTGCGGCGGGCGGGGGGCCCCAATAGGGAAAGTCCGAAGGGCAGGGGGCCCCCTGGGGGGCCCTTTCAAATAGCGGTGCTGCTGCAGCAG